AAGGCAGCCGCACCAACAGCTATGGAGGGGCCTGGCGTAGCGACTTCAAAGAGGAAGAAGGAGCTCCGTCTGCGGCTGCAACGAATGGAAGAGGTGCAACCAGCTGTGAGCGACTCGATAGGGGGTCTGACTGAACAGGAGGCTGCCCCTGCGAGAGAGGAGACACAGCTTAGAAGAGGGAGGTCTAGGTATCCCAAGGAGATGCGCATAAAGGTGGTTGCTGGGGAGATAGTAAACTCCCCGGTAGCAGATAGTGGCTCGGCAGGGACGCCAGCACTGAGTGGAACTGTCAAGAACCCAAGTATAACGGACCTCACCTCAATTACCTCCAGTGAAGAAGGTATGGAGGTGGATTCTAACGTGGGGAGCGATACATTGGAGTCAACTCCGATGGAGGATTCGGGAGAACTGACGTCCTCCTTTGAACAGATCCCGAAGAAAGGTAAGAAGAGGAGGCGTAAACCTAAGGGCTCCAACTGCCCGGGATCGCATGCGATATCTAGGATCTCGTCCAAGAGGATGGAGTATGAGGATGACGATCTAGATAGGGAGGACTTCTTCAAGATCGCGAAGAGGGGAGGCCATGGCCTTAAAAAGAGGAAAGGCCTGATTGAATGTAACTTGGACGATAGACTCTCATCACGGCAGAAGGACGCAATTGAGGAGGTGACATACCTGTTTCCACAGATGTCACCAAAATCTGTGGTGGCAGAAACACTGAGGGTACTGGACATTGCTGGAGAAGCTGAGAAGCGAACTCAGACGATGAAAGGGGACCTTCGAAGGCAAATTAAAGTGAGGGTGAATGTGGCGAAAATCGCTGTGCAGCGGCTGGTTGAGCACATCAACAAGAGTATGGAGCCGACGGATGAGGTAAGGGAAAACAACTTTGCCCTGGAAAGAGAGGTTGTTAAACTCCGACGAGAGATGGACGCCCTTAGACGAGAGAGAACTTCCCTTAAAGATCAAGTGAAATCTCTTCGGCGAACTATAGAGGACCTGAGGGATGGTGATGGGAGAGGAGTTTGCGATAGGAGTCGCGTCCCCTCCTCCTCGGAGGAGGGCCGGATACGAGGCTCCCCTGTCTCGTCTCTCCCGTGCTCTCGAGGGGAACGTGCTTCGCGAAGACGGACAACGGACGTGAGTGTAGTGACGCGAGCGTTGGGGGAGGATGTGCTTCCCCCCGCGTATAGGCCAGCTCTGAGAGGGAATAGGAAGAGGCTAAAGGACTGGCCTCCTCTGTCCACCAGAGTTGATGGGACTGGGCGAATTGTAGCGGATACAGGACGCGGTGTCGCGGACGATTATAATGCTGCGAGTGAACACAGAACAAGAAGAGGAGTGGTGCGTGAGGTGGATGGAGAGGTGTCTGGAGGTGCAATGCACCCGGAACCCTCGTCGCCTATACGGGACTACCCTGAGAATGGGGAGGACTGGACGGAGGCGAAGTCAAGGCGCGCACGTAAGGGGGCGGCCAAAAAGAAGAAAAACGTGAATAACTTAGTTCCTATGACTAAAGATAGTGCGAGTGGTGGAAGAGGTGCGAGTAAGACCACTGTGCC